ATTAGTGAATACTTTCACATCTAATGAACCACGAAAGCTGTTGTTTTTTTTTTTTTTTTTGGGTTAAAATTTCCAAAACTTTCCTAACTACTACTGAACTAACAACAAAAGCCACACATTTAAACGAATCATCAACAACATCCGTTTGCTGTTACCGCAAATGTAATCATCATAATTATAGAGACGAAAACAACATATTTTATGGTAGAAAAAATCACGCCAATATCAAAAGATTTTCCAAAATTTTGGGTTGGAAAGAACCTGATCCGCGCGGAAAAAACATTTGAGGCGAACCAAAAGCGAAAACCTCATTCTCACGCTCAATGTGGCTGGTTGGCTGTTGTATATTATGTTCATTTTCCGGGTTGCAACATAAAATAGCAGCCCAGAGTTGCAATCTATGGTTGTTGGCTCGTTTCTATTTGTGGGACGATACTGGGAGAAGGGTTAAACTATGTTCCCTGTTGCTGTTGTTGTTCCTTTTATTGTATAATAATATTTACAATGACTGCAGTACCGAGAAATAACAACAGCAACAGTTTACGGTTTGGTATGAGGTTAGGTTCTGGTAATGCAGCCCAGCACAGAGAAGAACATCAGCTCAGTTCAGCTCGTGGTCGAGTGGTTGGGGTTGGGTATTGCATTGCGCATTTGTTGTTGTTGTGTAGTGAAGAAGTGGCACTGGTTGTTACAAAATGATGACAATAACACTCAAAAGCAATGGTTGTGGCAGTAACAAAATGTTATTTTTTGTCGGTTTGCTGCATCGGAATAATGGCAACATTTTAAACATTACGTGCTTAAAATGTAACACAACAACAACAGCGACGGCAGTCATACCAATAGCGCTAACAATCATTGCAGCTGACAATGAAGACACAATGGGTTTGGAAACTATTGAAGATGTCAAATGTTGACTATATTAAGAACTTTGTTCAAAAACTATACATGTGAGATGTTTATGAAATTAACTGACCATATTCCATACCTACCAACATTTGGAAGATACTTATATTTTCTGTCAGCAATGCGTTCCTTTTTAGTGACTTATTTTCTTTGAAAAAGCGATAATTGGCCTTTTACAAAAACAATTATATTGTTGTCGTCTTTTTTAAAGATATGTGGTTACTGCAAAATATGTAGTTTCTCAAAAACAATTACTTAAGTTTTGAGTATTCCTTCAAACTTTTCAGATCTTCGGTCAAAGAAAGTAAAAGTTTGAAATGAAAATAATAAACAAATTAAGCTGCTTTAAGTGATGTTTAGACCTCTTGACTGGGTTGAGGATTTATTCTAATAGTAAAAAAATATATATAAGCGGGGAACATTACTTCCATCGCTTAGGTAACTTCCAGTAGTATCGCATTCTTTTCTAAAAATATAAGGACGACTATATTTTTAGAAAAGAATGCGATAGTAGCTTTCTTATCAGCAATAATTTTTAAGTGAAATTTTCATCACGCAAACGATGCAGGCATATAACGTATACAGGGTGAGATAACTGTAACCAACTTCAGACTGCTGTCATTTCCAAGACACTCGTCCGACAGCTGTTAAAATTATTCCAGTGACAGCTCATTATATTATATACCAGCGCAGAAAAGCATTTTGGTGAGAATTTTCCAGCAAAAAAGTTATTCGTGATGGAATTTAAACGTGATAGTGGGATTTCTATATATTTGTCTGGAAAACCACAAGTACAATCGTACCATCGCTCGTTATCGTGATACTGGTAGCGTACCCCGACGTCAAGGAAGTGGACCGAAGAAAACAGCAACATCAGCGAAACCCGCGTCGCAGTGGCCGAAAAATGGCTCGTGAGCTGAACATATCGCAATATTCCATTCTGCAAATATTGAAAAATGAGTTCGGGGTAAAGCCATTGAAATTCCAAAAGGTACAAGAACTTACACCGAAACAGAAAGAAAATAGACTCAAAAATGCTAAAGATTAGCTTCGCTTGGCCGAAAGTGGTGAACAGCCGAATTTGGTTTTATCCGATGAGAAAACATTCGTTGTCCAGCAGTTTGTAAACAAACAAAATGATCGTGTTTACATGCCAAAGAGGTCAGCGGAAAATGTGCACCTTCGGTTGGCCACCAGAACTCAAGCGCCGGCCATGGTGATGTCGCTCTCCGCTCGTATTAATCGACCGTGGCATCAGCATAATAATATTATCGCGAAAATATTCTGGAGGGTGTATTAAAGCCTTGGGCACGCAAAGATTTTGGCCGCATACCTTGGACATTCCAACAGAACTCAGCATCATCGCACTCAGCACCCGCCATCCAAAAATGGTTACAAGATGAGGTTCCTCGCTTAATTTCCAGCCCACAATGACCAACAAAATCTCCGGATACCAATCCGTTGGACTATTGTGTTTGGAGTATTTTGCAAAGCAAGGTTTTTCACTAAAAATACCAAAGTGTCGATAACCTCAACCAAGCTCTTCGCCGGGAATGGGCCAAAATACCGCAGAGCAACATTCGGGCAGCATGTGACGGTTTCATTGGCCGTTTGAAGGCCAAAATTCGTGACTAATTCGAACAAATATAAACTTATTCTAAAACTTTGACTTTGTTGCAGTTTTTTTTTATCTCACCCTGTATTTGGTATTAGATGACGTTATCGAAAGTTAGTAAGTTATAATTATATAATTGTCTGAAATTTTGTATTTTATGTTCGTAATAGGTACTACTACTCTGTTAGTAAATTAACCTTGTCACTTACTGATATATTTTCAAAAGTGTTACATTCCACAGTTCGGCTGTGAACTATTACTTTTTCTTCGTGGAACTATGAACTTGCCTATTTTAGGAATACGGTCTTGCAATGGTGATTATTTTTTATTAGTAATTATGACTAATGTGCCTTCCTTGGTGCAGTTGGAATTATATTTAACTACAAATTCAGCACTGGACAAAATATAATCGATCTGATCTAAAAATAGAAAATATGATTTTTATCGCATTTGACGGTTTAAGTAACAGAAGACTAATTTCTCATTTCTTCTGACTTGGCCTTGCAAAATTATGGGTCAGTATTGATTTTTGTTGTAATTGATAACATTTGCTGATCCAACGTTTCCCCTCCTTTAAAGTTGGACCATTACATTAAACATCTTAAGTAAGCCTTGTTACTGTGTGAAATACGTGAATTAACCCAAGGATGTACACAGTCGGTAGACTATCTGAGAATAAATAATAGGTGAATCGCCTTTACCTATCATACAGAGGTTCCACATTATCAAACATTAATAGAAACTCTAAGGCTCTTCTCAGACATAGATCCCATCATTATCTATAGGTTTGTTAAAAGCATCTCCCGGCTTGGTAGACCTCTCTACTACTAATATATCTCTACAAAACCTTCTTTTTCGCTTCAATATATTTCCTCTTCCTATCACCACTACTTATTAATCCAAGGATGAACACAATAGACCAAAGGTCTCCGAGTGAAGCAGTTGCCGTGCGCATCCTTAAATCTAGCCCAAACTATTGTGAGAGTCAGTAGTATTTTAACCCAGAAAGGCATTATTTTAACAACCTGAAATACCTCATTTTTTCTAAAGCCAAACGACCGACCAAAAATCCACCTGTTTTCGAAAAAAATTGTTTAGCGACGAAACTCAGTTTTTGGCTTAATGGATACGTTAAAGAAGCAGGATTGTTAATTTTGGGGTGACGATCAGCGAGAAGCGTTGCAAAAGCTAACATTGCACCCATAAAAAGTCACATTTCAGTGCGGGTTGTGAAAGGTGCTAGGAATCGCAACTGTGAGTGGTCAGCGCTATCGTGAGATGATATCCAACTTTGTTTTCAATAAGTCGATGCCACACAGAAAGCCTGACGAGTGACGAGTTCGGTGAACATTATATTTCACGTTCAGGACCGGTCAATTGGCAGCCTAGATCGTGTAATGTATCGCCTTTAGGTTATTTTTGTGGGGCCATGTTTAAGTTCTTCAATTGACGAACTGGAAAATAACATTGAAGCACTTATTCGTGAGATACTGGGGTAATGTTTTAAAAAGTAGGTGCATTTCATAAAAGAATTAATGTTTTTTTGAATTGAATGTTTTTTTTTTTTAATTGTCTGTGGGTTATGTGAAATCGGCCTTTACTTCTAACATATATCATTTAACTCTCTAGAACCTTTGTGATTCAGTTTTTTGGTAGATCTGACCGCTGTTCGAGTACAGATAATATACAAAAAAGGAGTCAGGACTCATATTCATCAAGTTTTGCCCATTGTGCAACAATGGCTGTGACAACGGAACGACATTACGAAAAATGAACAACATTTTGAGCTAACGCCACAAAAAGAAATGGCCAAAGATATAGTTAAACTTTTAACGGATCTGTATCATTGAAGCTCTTGTTGTTATTGTTGCTGCCAAAATGTGGTTGTTGCTGCCGTAGCTGGTGATGATTACGATGATACTTCTAGCCTTCTCTGGGTTCACTCATTCGTGCATTTACATTTTTTACAAAACGCACACATACACACACATTCGTATTACTCTCACAAAAAAAAAATTACCGAAAACGGATGTTGGCAAAAAATTCAAATTCCTCCACATAAAATGTTAAATTGTGTGCTGAAAGATGGGTCGAGAGAGAACAGCACAATGCAACGTACGAGCATTATCTTCAGACGCAAACCCCACTGAGAAAGAGTAGCTCGAGCGTCAAAAAACTTAAGCGAAAGGTTTTACAAGTTGAAAATCTGTTGTTTCCACATCGCCCACAAATGAACGCAAAATGATGAGTAAATGCTTTACAAGAACGAACTCCAAGAACAATCCAACTTAGCCGAAAGCCAGCCAACCAAGAAACATGTTTATTGTTGCCATTTTCCTTTTTTCGGCGTTCTACGGTATTGGATTGAAGCAGTACGGTATTGTTGTTACTTCCTTATGATAAAAACGAACGTATGTTCTTGACGATATGATGGAAATGAAAAGAGAAAAAAATGGTTGGATGTGGGTTGTGTACTCACATTGTACTCGTTCGAACTAAAATGGGCTGACCAAAGAATGCCGGCACACTTTCATCCATTAGTGAGTGTGTTTTGATGAAATTTAAAGTGGGATCCGGAAGTGTTCTTGAGTCATTGTGACATGAGCCAGGACGAGGTTCGGGTACCTGAAATATATGCATAGAAATAAAGAAATTACAATTAAATGAGATTTAAACACACCTAAAATTGGTTTAATTTTAAATTTAACCTATGAATAATGTAATCCTCTTATTGAAGTGTCGAACCATATCAATTTGCAATGAGATTTAAATTTTCAGTTGTCAAGGTATAGAGTGTCAGTCACTCTAGATTTGTGTCGATTCGTTCATCGTTTTCAAGTTCATTTGTACAAAGGAGTTGCTGCTGACAAATATGCTCTGGTTCTGCTAATCCTATATGTGTTTCCAAAAATATTTTTTCCTGAGAAATTTCAGTGTTTTGGTGCTGCATATTTATGGCATGTCTTTTCATGCTTTCCCAATTTCCCTTTTGGCTACCTATTCATTCAGCTTTTGCTATACACTAGAGTTATGGGTCCTTTGTTTTTCATAAATTTGTAGTCTGTCTACGGTTGTGGTATGGGCGTGGCGTTTGCCGGTTTAAATGCTGAGTTGTTAATGCTGTCTGTATTCAGTTTCCATTTTCCTTGTGCTTTTTTTCTTTTTTTTTTTTTGGTTAAAATATCAAGAGGCCATGTGCAGATTTGTAGAGAGCCACTTGATTTATATTTATGAGCATCATGAAGAGCCGCTGTCACGACAACAACAATAGCAACAACAAAAGACAATGGATGGGTATGAAACAGAGCATGAGAGTACATTTATTTTGTATTTATAAAAAAATAATGTCATAAAAGGTAGAAATTGTCACTTTTAGCAAATTTTGGCCTTTCTCATGCAGGAAAGCAAAAAAAGGTACTGGCTGTAAAATGTACGTGATTGAAATCCCTAAATAGGAATACATAGACTGAAAATCATCAAACACAAAGGCATTAGATATGTATGAATAATGGGTTGTAGGGTTTTTATATTCTCCAACCAATTTGTTTAATTCAAAAGGCTGAAGAGCACATAAAAGTGTGAGGATTCGGGTCTTTCAAGACCCTCCTACATGTCTTGGAAGTATTGTAATTTATATCACTGCTATACCAAAACTAGACTTTTATACTATCGAGAGATAAGATTATATGGGTAGTTTAGAAAAATGTTGATCTAGATAGACAGTGTTCTACACTAGAGGTAGAACATATTACGAACTATAAACACAGAAAAAAAATCCGTTATTTTTATATATTTTTAATTGTTATTTAAATCGTAAAAAATATAAATTATCCGAAGGTATCGTTATAAGAAAATGTGAATCTATATTGGCAGGAATGCGTGGATCTGTTTAGGTAATGTTCTGTCCTGGGAGATTGTAAATAGTTAGACAAATTATTTTAATATGTGGCTAATTTCATAAGAATACCTAATAACAGAATGTATAAGAAGATGAGGGCTTTTGTAGACAATTGTCCCTTCCAGTGGTTGGTATCGGTCGCGAACATCAAATATCACACACTTCCGATGAAAAATGTGGCTAAAATTATCACAATACCGATTATTAGGAAGCACTGTTGTATGGGTCCGATAGGAAAACGTGGACCCATATAGACAATGTTCTGCCATTGGGGTGGAACCCATTAAGAACTCTAAATAGTAAATTTTAAAACAATACCACTAGCTTAAATTCGAAAATCAATAAAGATTACCGTTATATGGCAAAACGTAGACCGACATGGCCCAATTACAAACATGACCTGCATGCAGGCAAAAGTCTTGGCAAAAGTCACTGAATCGACTTTGTAGGGTCTAACGCTATTATTTGGAGGAATCACAACGGAATGACAAGATCATATACCCTCTATGCCATGCTGGAGCGTCTAAAATGATAATGACCCAAATTATGATTAACCAATACGCTCAAGCTTGGCTACCCCTCATTTCTTCAATAAAATTAAGCTCAAGCGTATATCAATCGACAGGGAACCACCTCGAACTAATTCATCAGTCATTTGATTCCTTACTATGTTGCTATGTTTGGGACCCAACAAAATTGAGGGATTTCTGGCAATTGAAAATTACTCTTTATTTGATGACACTTTGCCTGAGAGCTTTAAGGGCCCCCTAAATATCGCGTATATCTCTAGTGACTGGTCTTACCATTTCCGCTGCCTTTTTCATTGCAAGAATCTCCGTCTGAAAAACGCTACAACTGTCATTAAGTTTATATGAGCGTCTAATAATTGGATTAGAACAGAAGAATGCCAGTAAGAATGCGGCTCTTTTATCTGTGGTTAGTTTGTGTATGACTTGTGGTCTGAGCCTCCACTTCTTCCAAATACATGAATGGAGTGCAAAAATAACAAACGCTCCCCATGTGTTGAAATGCTGCTCAAGGATAGGTTATTTTTTATATTGATTAGCAATGGTCGAATGTGTAAATTGTGTGCCGTCTTTACTCATTACTTTGAAATGGATCAGTAGTAAAGTTTTGTCTTGTTTCTTTGTAAGAAATTATTCATTAGAGGTAATGGAGATTATGTTTTTATTATTAGGTTTCGATAGCTTGTAATGTACGTGATGTTAGCCAGAAATTACAATAATTTTTTTTTTAAATAAGTCATTGCCTTTATACCCAAGTTTATTTTATTAATTTGAATGTCTATATATTTTTATTAAACCCACTATTTCCGACAACATAAAATTATTAATTTTTAAACACATTTAGAAATCCTATGAATTTTAATGTACAAGTAATCAAATATGTTCGGCCTAATTAACACCTAGTATGTCAAAGCCTTCTACTTTCATTTATTCGTTTACCTCTAAATCCATCAGTTTCTGGTAACATTCGGCTCCACAACAAATGTGTGCATATGTGAAAGGAACTTTTAATTAACTTTGACCTACATTTGAAGTACTGCAGCAAACTGCCACTTTATAAATAAATAAATAACTTAAATATGTGTGCGACCTGTGTGCATGTGAAACACAAAGGATTGAAATAAAAAATGTAAGAGGTTTTAGCATAAAAGTTTTTTCTATCCATTATTTTTGTAAATTTATTTATGGATAACATTCAATATATTGTAGGATATCAATCAATCAAGTAATATACGATTATTGTTTGTATAGTCGATAAATGAAGTCTCAGCAGAAATATAAAATATTTAGGCATACAATGTATGCTGGGTTGGAATGAGTATGATTGAGTATGTTTGATCATACTTAGTGGAAATAAGTCAAACTCAATCAGTCGGTCAGATGTAAAATGTTTATTCGAGTTGCTGAAGCGAACGAAAAAATCGTGAGAAAACATGAATTGTTCTTTTTATAACTATATAGGGTGAGATGAAAAAAACTGCAGCAAACTAATTCTAAAATTTGATGCTATTTCCGACATTTTTTGCTTTCATTTAATAAAATTAAAAAAAAATGTAAAAATTAGGGCGTTTGACTTTGTTGCAGATTTTTATCTCACCCTGTATCTTCATATATCAATAACTTCCGATTTGTATTTCTTACTACGTAGATTTTTGCCTTTTCACCTTTTTAGCCTTTTTAGTCTCTAGTTTGCAATTTAGAGTTATTAGTATCCCTAAGAATCCCTTACTTAAAAAATGTTTCATATGGCTCCACTATTTGTTATATCCCTTTTGCAATAAAATTATTTGTAATTTGGCAATTCAGTTTCATAATAGATATTTACTGTCCCTGCGAAAGTTACTTATTTGGTATAGTTGCTATAGCGGTTCCAGATTCTATTCGGAATTTTGAACATTGCATATATAATTTTCCACATTATTTACTGTAATACTGTAATCTTCAGTCTCATCAAATGAATATCTTCCTTATGAAAAATGTTCCAATATTGTTTCACATTCAACGTAAACCTCAAATAGATCCTGGCCACTTTATTTGGACGCATAAGTAGGTAAAAACACATTTTGCAAAAGGTAAAAGTTTGGGCCTGGAAGATTCCTTTTGGGGATAAAAATCATGGGTTAGTATATTAAGAACCTCCAAGGACAGATCAATTCCAACTAAATTATTTCTATGTCCTTTTCGTTCTTCATTTCTTGGACCGGAAGATATACTGGCAAAGAAAGACATTTTGAGGTTTTCGATTTTTTATCATTTACCCGACAATCGTCAATATTTTTTTCAGAAGTCTTAAGAGAGTTCTGCAAAGCGTTACCAATAAGAAAATATTGGAAATTTTCGTTTAAATGTTAAAAAATCCACGAAAACAGCAAAATAAGATTTTTCATGAGAGCCGAACTTAAAATTTAATGAGCAACTTTTTTGTACAACAATTTGATGTCGCCTGGTTTTGGAAGGACTCAATATTCCACAGAAAGTGCTTTTTTGATTTGACTGATGATAGCTTAATAATTTGGCATTTTTGATTCGATTATATTGAGTGCCCAAATTTGAAGAATTTTAGGGACAACCGATTTACCTGTAATTTAAGTTCCCATGTTTAGGTCCGATCTAACACGTTTTTACTTATTACATTCAAATTTGGCACTTTTATGTGAAATTGTTGAGAATTGTTACAGATTTACACGGGGCGCCCATATACAAGTTTTCTTCGGTTTCATGTATCACATTATCATACGATCATATATATTTCAGAAGAAAGTCTGTCTGCATAATCCACCATATTTGTTTTCGATTTTACAAATTTTAAATTCATCCAATGGAAATCACCGCAAGCGATCGCCATAATAAAATATCAGTACACAATACTCTGTGTGTTTGGACTTTGGAATATATTTGATGTACTCATTCACTTATAGTAGTGCAGAGTAAATCAAAACATAGTAATTGGGTAAAAAGAGTTAAGGATATTGTAAAGAATTTACAATATTATTGTTCTTACCCTAGCATTATTGACCGGCAGCCAATTAGAGTTGATACCACTTTGTTCTTTGAAATTGCCCTCAAATGTATCCGCAATATCCTGCAGACGAGAAAGAAAAGAAATAAGAAAATGAAAAAAATACATACAAAAAATTGCTTTAATAAATTTAATGGATGTCTTTGGCTCCCTCCATCTACCCAATATCTGGCTGTCTTTCAAACCAACACCAGTATACAGACACACACACACACACATTGTATCCATTCATGGCAGAGCCGACCGTTAAAAGGGATAAATAAAAGATTTTGAATTTTTTCGTGGCGGCAGCTTACCATGAAAACGGACTAAAGTAATTTCAATTTTGGTCATGTTATGTGAGTGTGTCTGTATGCAGTACATAATATAGGAAAAGCCATACCAGATACATTGCGGTAGCCAAAGAGCGAGCGAGAGAGCCAGCGAAAGAGATGCTAAGAGAAATAAACAACGGCCATAAATGTTGAACTTACCTGCAATGAAAATGCACAAACTGCTGAGCCAGGAATTGAATTTGTTGGTGTATTAAAAACGCCATAAATCAATTTGGCGCTTGAGTGACCATAATGTCCTTCGACAAGATTACTAGCAGATTCTGCGAGAAAAAAACGAATAAACAAACAACCACAACAATATTATATTAGAGCGAAATACAACTTTTGCGGAAAATATCCAAAGAATTCCATTAATGGAAAAAACGAATTTGGATACATAATTTCATTCTCCAGATTTGCTGAAGTTATTTCGCCATTTGATACTTACGAATCTCATTGAAATAGAATGGAAAATCGCCTGGTATTGAACAATTTAAACGTGATTTTAAAAATGATGTCCAACGATTGCGGAAACGATGTGGTCCACCTTTGTCCCATTTGCAAACACGAGCTACACGCGAAAATATTGACTGGAACACGAGAAGGAGAAGAAGAGAACAAGGTATGGAGAAAAGTTAGTCGGACGTAGCAAGTAATTAATCATTATTTATAGGAAATTCATGCAAAACGAAAACGAAACATGAGAAACAGAAAAGTGTGAGTGAAATAAAATGGAAAAAATATAGAAAAGTTTTTTTTTTACTGGTAACTGTTAAAAATGTTTGGCATTTTATTTTTACCCAAGGGAAATGAGTTTGGAGTGTGACGTTCTATGGTCGAAAGGAATTTATATCCCTTAAGGTTTCTAAATATGACAGAATATAAGCATTGACCTTTTGGTTTTTGTTGTTGTGGGATTTTAGGTAAGAGAATTATGTAATAGGAGTTAGGTATTATGCAAGGAAATGATGAAATATTGAAATGATTATTTCATAGTCGGGACTGTGTATGTAAGTGTTTAATTCGTAGCTTTATTAGATTTTCTTTAATTATATTAATTTTTTTCTATTTCATATAGGTTTTGACTTACTTTTCCGCAATTTATGAATTCCACAGCCGTTTCACGAAACATAAAATATACAAAGTCTCCTTGCGTAAAAGAACTGACAAAATTTGGTGCTGAAAAGAGAACATAAATATAACTTTTTAATATTTTCAAAAATAACCAGTGACAATTATAATCCAATTATTTGAATCTTTATTTCAAATTCTAATTTAATAACCACAAAAGTTAAATATATATATACATATATGTAACATAACATTGAACATTTTTACCCGTTATTGGGTATTTTCTTTTGCTTTAGCGAAATTATACACCGGAATTGTTTCAAATTTGGTATTTAAAGTTCGTAATGAATACTACAGTCTAATACAGAAAATTGTCTGTGCAGGTCCACGTCTTCGTATAGCCCCCATATAACGGTACCTTTGATGATTTTAGCGACATCATTCACCGAAATTATTTAAAATTTGTAATTTGATGTTCGTAATGGATACTGCAGCCTCTGACAGATAATTGTCTGTGGAGGTCTAAGTCTTCATATAGCCCTCATATAACAGTACCTCCTGATATTCGGTATTTTGATGTTTTTAGCGATATCGTTCACCGGAATTGTTTCAAACTTGGTATTTGAAGTTCGTAATAGAATCTACAGCCTATGACAGAAAATTGTGTGTGCATGTCTACGTCTTCGTATAGCCCCCATATGGCGGTACCTCCCGCTAACTGGGTATTTTGATGATTTTTGCGACCTTATTTATCGGAAGTGTTTCAAATTTCGCATCTGAAGATCTTAATGAGGACTACAGCCTATGACAAAAAATCGCGTACTCAGGTTCACGTCTTGGTATAGCCCCGGTGAACGGGTGAAGCTAAACTTTTGAAATTTTGTATTGAGGCTGGTAGGGGGTTTGTAATAAAGGAGCGGCTTTGGAAATGGGTACTACAAGTACACGAGTGCTAGTTTAAAACTTTGCATTAGAGTCGCGGTTCATGTGTAGCCTTGGCATATTGAGTTGATTTTGGTAGTGTGTATTTCAATTGTACGAAAAGTACTAAATGATACTAAATTTGATCTTAGTTGAAGGGATAGAGATACAATTATAAAATTAAATATTTAGAAAATTGTTAGTATCTGGAATTGAGATTTGGGGGTGCGTTTGGAAATGCGCTCTATATTTGTACGAAAATGGTACTAAATTTGGTACTGGGTGAAGATATAGAACTGAAAGTGTGAAAAATTTTGTTGCAATATATGATTAAAATACGGAACTGTTTTGTAAATAAGCACTACAATCATACGAAAAGTACTAAACGATACTAAATTTAGAATTTAGAGAATGTATATAGCTGGAATCCCGAAACTTTATATTGAGGTCTTGCTCGAAAAATACTAAACGGTGCCAATTTTGGATCACTGTTGGTGTCTAGGATGAAGTACATCTCTTCATCCTAGAATTATTTTGCATATACGTAATAAATATTACTAAATTCTGTATTCGTCGAAGGGATTGAGCTGAAATTTTACAATTTGATATTGAGGTCACTGTTGGTTTCTAGTGTTTACATATGAAGACGTTGAAATAGTTTGGGCAGAAAAATTGGATGTGGTCAAAATTAAAGATTCTGAAGACTTTTTGGTGTAAAAGGAAAACATTTTTCTATTATTCTTTTCAAAAGGGAAATTTTACAGTTCTCGAAATGTGAACCAAGCGAACTCCCAACATTTAAGGATTTTGATGTTAACATTGCAGTATTTCATCTAATACATTCGAATAATTAGATTAGTATATATAATCTTATAATCGATTATGTCAATTTTTTAATTTTATGTTTTCTGCTGGATTGTGTAAATGTTGTGGACCCGGTGGGCTTGGTTGCAAAGAAATGTAACAAATTTAAATTTTGAAAACACTATGAATTGGCGCTCTTTTACTTGAGGAAGTATAAAACTGAAGAAAATAATTATTCAGGCCGTAGTATGTCTGAAATTATATTTGATTTGATGTTGCACAGTTATTTCAAATACTTTCAATATGTTTCCATTAAAATATTACAATGAAGTTTTCTGCAATATCAATTTGAGTTATGACATTCTTTGAAATCGATTTGTATTTGTGTTGTATTTGCATGACCAGTAAACATAAATATTATTTTGTTTTTATCTGTTAAATAAAGATAAAGGCGGCAATTGTCAAACAATAAATAAATACATGTTAAACAAATATTACCCACTCTCAATTGTGTCTGGATATAAATGTCAACACAAAACTCACTACCCTTTATATCCCAAAGAAAATGGGGAAATTGAAGAATTCATGTGAACACAGCAATAATTAAGGGTTCATTAAATCAATTTTGATAATTACTTTGATTTATATTTGCCATCATAGACATTATTCAAAATAAGATAAATTATTAGACACAATCTTTCGACTCTTATATCCTTAATTTCTTAAAGGTTATAGCAATATTGAAATATTTATTAAAATGACACTGTGCAACTCAAAATATAATTACAGGGAAAATTCAGCAGATTATGAAAGTAGAGCTAAATTTGAAGACATGTGTATAAACACTTTTTTTTTATTTTCTGATTAAGATTCCTAAGAATTCATTGACTTCATTTACATAGTGATCTGAAGAGGTTTTCTTATTCTATGAAAATGTGAATCAAATAAAAGTGTTGCCGTCGTCTTAGCGTTCTAATTTACGACACACTTGTAAAGTATCTAAACTGGAAGACAAATACCATTGATGTAGGGAAAATTCCAACCTTTGTATACATTAAAAACATAGTATAAATGGAATTTTCCAAAACTGATCTTCGTCTAGACACTAAATAGCATCTTATATTCCTGATGAGGTGGTTAATGAACGGCGCAAGTGTCGCATACTGAGAGTGGGACTTCACTAGATTACAATTCAATGCCATATCCTGAGAGATATCAACTCGAAAGAGAAAATTATTGATAAAAATCATTTGACATTTCTCTCTGTTACAAAACTTTTCACATTTCATAGAACAAAAATTGAGCCCCCTGAACAATATTACAGATAACAATACGGTGATAGTTTTGGTCCAACCATTGAACTTTATATTACCTATACTAAAAAAAACTGCAACAAAGTCAAATGTCATTATTTTTACATTTTTTTAAGTTTTATTGAATCAAAGCAAAAAATGTCGGAAATAGCATCAAATTTTAGAATAAGTTTAGATTTGTTCGAATTGGTCACCTATGGCACGAATTATGGCCTTCAAACGGTCAATGAAACCGGTATTTTGCTTGCTTGAGGTTATCGACACTTTGGTATTTTTTAGTGCCAACATTGCTTTCCGAAATACTCCAGACACACTAGTCCAACGGATTGGTATCCGGAGATTTTGGTGTCCATTGTGCGCTGGAAATGAAGCGAGGAACCTCATTTTGTAACCATTCTTGGGTGGAGCGTGCTGAGTGCAATGGTGCTGAATCCTGTTAGGAATATCCAAGGTCTGCGGCCAAAATGTTTGCGTGCACAAGGCTTTAATAAACCTTCCAGAATACTTTCGCGATAATATTCGGCATTTATTCTGATGCCACGGTCGATTAATACGAGCGGAGAGCGACCATCAGCTGCTGGGGTGGTCCACACCATCACCATGCCGGCGCTTGAGTTATGGTTTTCTTATGAGGGAAAACCAAATTCGGCAGTTCACCACTTTCGGCCAAGCGAAGCAACTCTTTAGCTCTTTTGAGTCTATTTTCTTTCTGTTGCGGTAAGTTCTTACAATTTTTGGAATTTCAATGGCTTTACCCCGAGCTCATTTTTCAATATTTACCGAATGGGGTATTGCGAAATATTCAGCTCACGAGCCATTTTTCGGCTTCTTTACTTTTCGAACCACTTCATCTGATGTTGCTGTTTTCCTCCGTCCACTTCCTTTACGTCGTGGCTTATAAATGACAGCAGTCTGAAGTTGGTTGCAGTTTTTTCATCTCACTCTTTATTTGGGATCATACTAGAAATTGGGCCGACATGGCCCTTTTTTAAAGCCAATGTATCTTTAACTATTTTAAATCTCTCCAAATTTTCGGCTGGTCCGCATTAAACGGCAACTCTTGATATTCAGTATTTTGAGATTTTAAGTAAGTAAGATTTTAAAATCCAAATCTTTAAAAGTTTACATAGAAGTTCGTAAAAGGAACAGATTGGACCACATTTTCGTATAGTCCTCATATAACGGTACCTATCGATGTTTTATATTTTGATGAATTTAGTCAGATTTTTGAATCAAATTCTCCAAAATGTAGTATCAGAAATCTGTATTGTGAACAAATCCTTCTTGCAGTATATTGTCTATATATGCCCATGTTTTCGTATAGTCCCTTTACAACAGTACCATTCGATATTCAGTATTTTGATAATTTAGATCATAGTTTTAACCCAAAACCTCTACAATTTAACATGAGAGACTTGTACTGGGAACAGATTCCTCTGGCAGAAAATTTCCTATGACGGTTTTGATGTTTTTTACAACACATTTAAAAAATAGAACTATAAAATGAAACTATAAAATAGAACTATATAATGAAGAAATGTTTGCTTCTCAAATACTATATATAACGTTCGAAAACCAAGTCTGAAACAACGTAATTCTCTGTCAAAACTATGGCCTTCCGAGCTTTACAACTTTTTTATTTGTTCTGAATGTCATTGTCAATAGTTGGAAAGAACCTTCAAACTTATTGGAAGATTTCTATCAATGTCAAGTAGCTCTCTAATTTTGAAAAATACTTACCAAGCAAGAAAAACAATACTGCCTACAGCCGTGCGGTCAAAGGAAAGACATAGATAACTAAGCTAAATATGATACAGCCCTTCAAAAGAGTGAAGACAGACAAACAGACGACGAACGTGTGGTGCGAGAAAGATTCTCGTTTGCTTTTCGTTATCATAAACGAATAGATGGCATTGATGTATACATTACTTAAAAAAATTGACAGCAATATAAAAATAAATAATATTAGACTTGCAGACATTGTTGTTGGCATTGGTAGCTTGTGTAAATAAACAATGAAAATATGATGGCCATAAAAAAGGAATCAAAGCAACGAAGGCAATTTAATACAAAAGGACTCACTCAGCCAAGCTAAGCTAGACATATCTGACAAGCTAGTCACAGTGGTAAGTGATAAAACTATTATTTAGGAGGTGGTAATACGGAAGGACTGGTTAGTCTGTGCTTGTCCAGTGATAGATGGCTTTTGTATATTTGAGCACACACATGGTTGACACGATACACACAACTATGACAATAAAGTTACAGTTTAGTTGTAATGAATGTCAAGAAAAATAAAATTTAAAAATACGGTGTTAGATCGGTATTTGATATTGTTATTGTTCAGGGTGTAGTTCATTCAAAGACATATGCCATTAAAAAATATATAAGTTTGTTTGAAATAAGTAACAATAGTACAAAAAAGTCTAAATGCCCAATAAATATGATATCTTTAAATTTAAGAAAATTTTCTAAAACGCATGATTTAATAAAATATGAAATTGTCAACTCATTAAGAACCTAGGTATACCTAGGAAGTTTAAAAAACGAAATTTGAAGTTTTTCACAAGATACCCAATAAAAGAAGAGACAACAATTTTAAAACATTTTAAAAGCGGAATTTTTTGTTATCGTTTTATTTTCATTTGTTTGGAAACACAAAATAGTCATTAGAGAATCACGTTTTTAATGAATTAAAAAACAACGTTGACTGATCGATCCGTAGCGGTGGTCAATTTATTTCTATCGTCAGTTGATTTAATCTTGCAGGCCGCTTGACTAATATGAGCTATTGGGGACTTTTGTCCTTATTAGTCTAGAAGAGTTTTTTCATTCTGTGAATCACGGCTCACTGTTCGAGGGCCTTGACAAAACTTTTTTTCAGGCACGTTCCATAATTCCATATTTTGTATACACTCAGTTAACGGAATATTTTAAGTCGATCCGTCCTAATGTTAATATAACTGCTCACATTAATTTCACTCTATTTTAACTAAAATTCAGTAAAAAACAGTTGTAATTCAGTAAATCTATTTGAAAATTAGTAATAATTAGTAATGGAATGTGATTAATTCAATGTACATGGAATTAATCTCATTTTATTATATTTTCAGATAATTAAATTAAAATATTGATATTATATTCGAAATTTAGAATATTCGGACATTTTATTTGATACTCCCAATTTATCAAATGAAAATAAGAATTTCTATTTAAAGTACCGGTTGGAATTTAATTTTTGCGCCCAACTAAAAACCTCGAGGTTTCGGAAATCCTCAATTCATTATGAGATTGAATATTTTCCACAATAAGAAGGAGATTCGAATTACATTCAATCCCATTTTTACTATTTCTACAGACATTATGGCTATTTTAAGATTTGCTTTATTTATTTTTAGAAATATTTTAAATTATATAAATGGAATTTTCTGAATTTTAATAAACGTTTTTGAATTTCAAATGGTTTTTCTAAATTTTAAATAAAAATCTGAATTCCTATTTTAAATGGGAATTCTGAATTTCAAATAAATTCTGAAAGGCAAATTAAACTTAAATTGTTTTCAATTATATTGGTTTTTATGAATTTCAATTGACAACCCAACATACCAAAATGGCTTGAGAATAATATTACAATAAGCTTATGAACATAAGCCTTAAGCTTGAGGAAATCTTGAGAAAACATTGAAAAATGTTTGTATAACAAGTATAGAATAATCGAAACGGAACCCTTATTTATAAGCTTATACTTGAAATTGTAGAATAAGCTTACAAAAATAATATTATAATAAGCTTATTTTTGTAATAGTATAAAATATTATTTTTTTTAGTTTTTAATCATTTTTAACGTTTTTTCTTGATGGACATCCCAGTAGTCACTGCCGCATGTGGCCTTGATACCCTGACGCTTTCTTCTCCCTTATTTGAACTTCTGCATCTCTTCCACTAAGACTACACATTCATTGAATTCCTGCAACTTTTTTGATGCTTCCAATCTGAAATGGGATTGGAATAATTTATGTAAAAGATTCCCGGATTTATTATTCATCCATACCTTAAGGGTTCGGTCCACAAATGGGTCCTAAATTCGCGTGATTTTGTTTTTTGCCAAAGAAAATAATTTCTTGCTGACAATTTTCACAAAAAATCAAAACTAATTTGTCAACAAGGGACAGATTTGAGAAATGTTTGTGGAACATAAGTGTTTCTCAAGCATTGTTGAAAAATTATATTTTTATAATATTGTTCTCAAGCTGTATTGTATTTTTGGTATGTTGGGAAGGTTCGAAATTCAAACTTATATTGGTATTTTGTAAATTTCATATGAAATTTCAGAACTAGAATTGATATATTATGAGCACGGTTGAATTATTGATATATTATGAGCACGGTTGGCATAGTGCGAAGAAGGTATTGTGGTTAATTTGGTATTATGTGAATGGATAGAGCTAAAAATCTGGCATGGTTGGAAAGTCTGCATACTTACGAAAATGGTACTAAATTTGGAACGGATAAAGATGGAATTTTAAAATTTTGTGTTCGGTTTCCTGTTGGTGGTATGTTTGTTGAGTTGGGTTTAGAAAAGTGTAGAACAAGTCCCAAAAGTACTAAATTATACTATATTCGGAACAATTTGATATTGGGTGAACATATATTGCTTGAAATCTAAACTTAGGGCCGCGGTGGGGTAATGTGTAGCCTGGTCATATACAGTTGGTTTCGGAAATGTGTACAATAATTGTGCGAAAAGTTCTGAATGGAACTATATTTTATATTGGATAAATTCATAGGGCTGGAATCTTCAAATACTAAGGGTTTTGCTTATCTCTGTGGTTAAGATATGGATTTGGTTTTGGAAGTGTGTATTATAATTGTATGAAAAGTTCTAAACTGAAAAGATTCTGCAGTTTGATATTTGAATTACTGGCGGTATCTGTTTTTGAGATTGGATGGTGGTTTGGAAATGCGTCATATATTTGTATAGAGCTGGAATCCCGTAATTTGATATTGATTCCTCTGTTGTTACCTGGTGGTGGTTTTGCATATGCGTACCATAATTGTGCGAAAAGTTCTAAATCGTACTAATTTTTGATTATACTTGGTGTCCAGGATGGAGAGATGTGGTTTGTTTTGGATTATGCGTACTGAATGTTACTAAATTTGTTATTGGGCGAAAAGATAGAGCTGAAATAGCCAGAAAAATTGGATGTGGAACTATTGTGCAAGGCTTTTACCAATACCCTCCTCGTAAACTTCAAAATAAGATATTTTGAAGTCTTTTTTTGTGTGAAAGGAAAACTTTTTGCTATAAATCTTTTAGAAAAAGGAAAAACTTGAATAGTATATAAAACCTTGAAAGTATGAAAATTTAGTACCATGTATGAAGTTTTGATTAAAAATGTTATTAAACTGATTGTTTATTTTGAATACTAAAAAAGCCTAACGCGAACTGTTGAAACGAAGCTACAGTTTTGAGGTGCACTTTTTGCTGACGTAGTTACATATAAACTGAGCGTTGTTAAAGATTTTTTTCAAACTTTGTGATTTTGGTGCGGAATATATTTTCTTGTTTTTTTCTTACATAGGCCAGTAAGGGCACTTTAAACAGTTTCATTTGGTTGAACAAGGAAAAAAGCTTAGTTTAAGAAGTGTGGTTCCCAGACCAATATTCGTGGACTATTCATTTAATTAAATCTGATGTACATAACATAATATGCGACCATTTCCTAGAAGTGGAATCTGATATTAGTGAAAGACAGAGAAAATGTGTGTGCTGTGTTGTATGCCTAGCAATATCAAGTTATCTGTTTCAGCGTCATTTGAATCTCGCCTAAGATTTTATTATGCTATTTGTTTTTAGAATACCTACATACATTTTTAAGACAATATTAGGTGCTTAGAGGCCTCTGTTGCAAGTCTCTTCAAGGATGAGATCTCTGAGACCAGCAGCGTTTTCATAAAAGTCAGCTATTCTCTTAGCTGACGCCTCTGCGACCTGTTACTTCGTTGTGAGGTCTTCTACTTCATACTAGAGGCCTTTAAGTTTGTGTACTTCATAGTCGATGACTTTGAAATTATGTGCTTAATTGGAGAATCTTCCGAGTAAAGAAACTTTCCAAAGGTGCAAATCAACTGTCAATGATTTCTGATTTTTAATTCCCCAGTACTCTAGGGATATCAATAGGCAATTCATAAAAGTCGTAATGTATCTTCTGGTAATGCGATAGGAAAATCAGTGGTTAAAAAATCGTTGTTAGCTTGTTCTGTGAATGTTAGACGCTATCTCTGTCATTTTTTCTACTAAAGTCCAATAACTCGGCACTATTGTACTCAATTGAGACAATTATCTTAAAACTCTGTCACAACTATAGCTTTTCGAAATATAATGTAAATAACGTAATTTTTTTAAGATTTATTTTGATAAAATTTTTTGTACCATGCCTTGAAGTACAGTTTCATTAAAATTTATTTTTACTGTGTGTTTATTATTTATTGCATTGTATTTGCATTCCAGATAAATTTGACAGACAGCAAGCTATTATCTGTCAAAACATCGTAAATAAAAGCAAATATAAAAATACACATATTTACTGAGAAATACATATATACATACAAATTTTTGCATTATATATATCCTTAAGCTTGTGGTGCTAACAAATTTATAAAAGCTACACATACACAAATATACCACCCTTCGAGTTAATGTAGTTGTTCCATAGAAGAAGCACAAAATTATGGCATATCAAAATAATAAACTATAACAATATTGTTAAAATTTAACAATCATAATAAATAATGAAATAATATGCTAACAATGGGTATCTGTGTGTTGCAGCCAGCAGTCACTTCCAGTCTACATCAGTACATACATACATACATACAAGGCAACCACAGCAAATACAATATTAATAACGACGTTATTGACGAGGCAACTTGAAAGTTACCATTCACAGGAGTTATAAGTAAACCCAAACAGAAGAAAAAACAACATAACATGAATTATATTTGGCAAACAAAAAAAAAACTTATATAACATCAAAAAGATGTATGTATGTATAGTATATATACATCTATATATCAATGTCTGTGTAATACATAATGACGGACAGTAGTTGTAGCAGCACACTTACCGTTAAGACTTAAACTATCATATTGCTCTGTTTGTAGTGGCTCTCGATAGATAATCGGATCACTGCCACTGAAATCAGCCACGGTGCCCGAATACAATTCATTATCTGCAAAAAAGAAGAAGAAGGAAACGAACACAAAGGATATGGTTAGTTGAGTGTAAAGATACAATATTTGTTATTTGCTTTAATATCAAAAAGAAAAAAAGAATAAGAAATGTAACAATAAAACAACTGATGGTTTTTTACACAAGAAGTTGAATGTTTTTTTATGTTTTTTTTTTTTTTTTTTTTTGCTATATTGCAGAGTTTAATGCCAAACTGAATAATTGAAGTATAAAATTTGTATCTTATTGATTTTTCTCTTTACACATCACGTTTTGAGTACTACTAAGACATGGTAGCTTCCAGCACCAAGAGCACATTAAGAGCCCAAGGATAACATCAATACTAGAATAAATAAAATCAAAATGGTTAAGATGGGATTATGTTAAAGTAAAGTAAACCGAAAGCGTAAAGAAAAATGCCGTTTATAGATATGGCGATGATAGGAAGTAAGCAGGGATAAGACTTAGAGGATTTCATACATCCACTTGGAGAAAAACACAGATACTTTTGAAACATAGATGGTGGGGCGTGTAGGTTTAGGGCGCAATAGGCTTAGGAAAAAAAAGCAAGGTTCGAGTGGTGGGCGAGTTTTGTATATCCCTACCATTAGAAGAACTTCAAATATAGCTTCCCTTGGTTGGAAGATGTGGCTAAGATATATATTAGTCATTCAAGTATTTGGATCCACATAAAAGGGACTGTAAATGAGTGTAGGAACTTAAAAAATACCTTGCATTACAACCTATGTCAAGAGGTACAATAAGATTTTTTAATGCTTCGATTGCGGAACACTACGTTTTTTAATGCTCCGACTCCGGTACACTACGATTTTTTAGTGTTCCGACTGCGGGACACTACGATCATCATTGTGTTCCGGTACAGTATCACTAAAATATTTTTTAGTGGTAGTGTACCGGTGGACTACCTCTAAATTTTTTTTAGTGATATTGTACCGGTACGGTACACTATGTTTGTGTACCGCTGGAAAAGCTGCGCGGGTTTCACTGTTCAATCAAATTATTGGAACTAAAACATGTTGAAACTCATGGTATAAATATTACAGGTAGCAGCAAATCCAAGATGGTATGACTCTATAGTAATACTAGTGTCAAACTCGATATGACGTTTAGTGATTCCAGCCCTTGATATACAATAGGTACACACATTTTTTATACCCTAGTATGGAGGGTATATTAAGTTTGTCATTCCGTTTGTAATACCTCGAAATATAAATTTTAGACCCCACAAAGTATATATTCTTGATCAGCGTAAAATTCTATGACGATTTAGCGATGTCCGTCCGTCTTTGGAAATCACTATACGTTCCGAACGAAATGAAGTAGGGTGATAAAATTTTACTCAAATGTATATTATGTCTGCAGGACTTTTGGTATTGAAAATGGGCCATGTAGGTCCACGTTTTGGTATAGCACCCCCATAAAATGGGACCTCGCTATTTTCTGTATTTTGGTGATTTAAGTGACATTATTTACCAGTATTTGAAGTTCGTAATGGATACTACAGCCTATGACAGAAAATTGTCTGTGCAGATACACGTCTTCGTATAGCTCTCATATACAGGGTTGTCCATATTCGACGGACCCATCTGGCAACGCCATAACTTTTGACAGAGATGTCACATCGCTTAATGACATACCACGTTTGAAGCGTCAGTAAAAGCAGATTTTTACCATGAACCAATACATGCCACGCGAAATAGTTGAAATTAACATTCAACAGAAGAAGTCAATTGTGAAAACTCAACGTGCTTTTAAAACATTAAAAAATGTGAGAAGTGCGCCTTCTAAGAACGCCATTAAGCGTTTATACGAAAAATTTTCGACTGGTAAGGCTCTTTCTAATCCAAAGAGGCCATATAAAAGTCGACCAAGGCGATCGGCCGAGAATATCGCTGCCGTACGAGCCAGTGTTGAGAGGTCCCCAAGAACATCCCAAAAACGCCGTTCTCAGCAGTTGGGCATGGCTCGGTCCACTTTACAACGATTATTCGCATTGATTTGCATTTGTTCCCGTACAAAATTCAATTGACGCAAAGAATGTTGCTTGCGGACAAGCCTCGTCGATTGGAATGGGCCCAAAGAGTCATGGGTCCGTCGAATATGGGCAACCCTGTAACAGTACCTCCCGATATCGGGTATTTTGATGACTTTAGCGCCATTATTCACCGGAATTGTTTCAAATTTGGTATTTGAAGTTCGTAATGGATAGTACAGCCTATGAAAATTGTCTGTGCCGGTCCACGTTTTGGTGAAGCACCCATATAATAGTACCTTCCTATATTCGGTATTTTGATTTAGCTACATAATTCACCGATTTTTTTAAGTTTTGCATTTGAATATTGTAATGGCAAAATTGTAATGACAAAAGTTGCCTATGCAGCCCCACTTTGTTGTATAGACACTAATATAATGGCTACATTCGGTATTTTTAAGATTTTAACAGAATTTTTAACGGATTTTATTTATTTATTTATTTATTTTTTTTTTTTTTTGAAAATTGCTAAATTCGTTCGAAATGGTGGAGGGTAAGACCCATCGAAAATTGCTAAGAAAGACAGGATGCAGGCCTTTGTAAACCGAGAAACAAAGGAATTATCTGCCTAATGAAACCAGATTTAAAATTTGGCCATTATAAATCTCACTTGTCTGACGTTCAAATGGGAAGACGATGTGAGATTTATGGCAATTGCATACTATGTAAGAACGAAAAGGAATAGGAAAAAATCGAACACTTGATATTCAACAGAAGACAAAGACTAATAGGGGAGAAAGGATCTCTGATCTTATTTTTTTTTTAAGACTAAAAAGTGTAAATTGTGAAGCACATTTACACCCAAACACATTTTACCCAAATACCTCGTTCGCAAACAATTTCAAAGTCGAACATTTTCAAATTTGACAATTGAAACAATTCCTTTTTTGTGCGTTAAAAAAGAAATGAATAATACACAAAATGTGAATGCGTGTGACTGGAAAATGTTACATTTGGGTGAATTTAAAAAAGTAAAAATTTTTACAACGTTTTTTTGGTAGATTATTACATATGGTCCTGTCGTATTTGGGTAATACGTATATACCATACATATTACCATAGTAGGGAAGTTGAATATTCGTATACGCAACGTCGAATTTTAGGTAATGCTGTTACTGCAAAATATTAGAAGGTAAAAATGGACTTACCTAAGTCAAACTACTTTTCTTTTTCTTATTTAAAAAAATCCATTAAAAAACGGACGCACTTTTCAGACACGAATCTGAGTCAAGTGAAAAAAGCAACTCTGGGAAGGCGCATAGAAAATGGCTAAACGAGACAGGGTACAGGGTCTCAAAAGCAATTAAGCCTTTGTTACCCGAGAAATGAAGGGATTATCTGCTCTCCCTAAGGAAAAAAGACCTAAAGCTTTGGCATTGTAACTCTCACTGACCTGACTTCTTAATGGGAAGGCAGTGACTCTCACAACTGCAGACTATATAAGGGAGAGGAAGAATTGGAAAAGGTCGAACACATGATATTCAACGGAATACATATACTAATAGGAGAGAAATGGATCTCTGATCAGAGTTTTTTTTAAGACTAAAAGTTGTAAATGGTTGTAACGATTTGAAAACCAATACGAACCTAATTATCAAGATTGGCAGTAGGTGGAACGTTCTAAAACACCCTAAAAATCTTACTTCTATTTTAAGCTAAACTCTCTCTCCCTCTCTCGCTTTTAACAATGTATTGTTATATACTACCCTCTATTTCGTATTTCGCAGACAATGGAACGCAAGGTCTCCAAGCTGATTAGGCAACTGCGCATCCTTTAATCTAATTTAACTAGCCTAGGGATATGGTCTTTAAGAAACGGTTAAAAACGACAATGGCGATTACACAAGACGAGCTATTTTAAATTGCCTAGAAAATCAAAAATGTTACCGTTCCAAAATAAAGAGTGATTTGTTAAGAGCTTGATAACTTTAAAAAAAAAAAAAAACGCATAAAATTTGCAAAATCTCATCGGTTCTTTATTTGAAACGTTAGATTGGTCCATGACATTTACTTTTTGAAGATAATTTCATTTAAATGTTGACCGCGGCTGCGTCTTAGGTGGTCCATTCGGAAAGTCCAATTTTGGGCAACTTTTTCGAGCATTTCGGCCGGAATAGCCCGAATTTCTTCGGAAATGTTGTCTTCCAAAGCTGGAATAGTTGCTGGCTTATTTCTGTAGACTTTAGACTTGACGTAGCCCCACAAAAAATAGTCTAAAGGCGTCAAATCGCATGATCTTGGTGGCCAACTTACCGGTCCATTTCTTGAGATGAATTGTTCTCCGAAATTTTCCCTCAAAATGGCCATAGAATCGCGAGCTGTGTGGCATGTAGCGCCATCTTGTTGAAACCACATGTCAACCAAGTTCAGTTCTTCCATTTTTGGCAACAAAAAGTTTGTTAGCATCGAACGATAGCGATCGCCATTCACCGTAACGTTGCGTCCAACAGCAACTTTGAAAAAATACGGTCCAATGATTTCACCAGCGTACAAACCACACCAAACAGTGCATTTTTCGGGATGCATGGACAGTTCTTGAACGGCTTCTTGTTGCTCTTCACTCCAAATGCGGCAATTTTGCTTATTTACGTAGCCATTCAACCAGAAATGAGCCTCACCGCTGAACAAAATTTGTCGATAAAAAAGCGGATTTTCTGCCAACTTTTCTAGGGCCCATTCACTGAAAATTCAACGCTGTGGCAGATCGTTCGGCTTCAGTTCTTGCACGAGCTGTATTTTATACGGTTTTACACCAAGATCTTTGCGTAAAATCTTCCATGTGGTCGAATAACACAAACCCAATTGCTGCGAACGGCGACGAATCGACATTTTACGGTCTTCAGCAACACTCTCAGAAACAGACGCATTCTCTTCTGTACGCACTGTACGCATTCGTGTGGTTGGTTTAATGTCCAATAAAGTAAACTGAGTGCGAAACTTGGTCACAA